TACACCACGTGTTATAATCACCGTCAAAGAAACGCTTGTAGAGTAACCACCGCGGAATTCCTCGGTGTAACTGAGGCTCTTATAACAGAATAATACTTAAGAAAGTTAAAGAATGTGCGGGGACGGCAGATTGCATCTGTTCGATTGTTGTGAAAAGTATCAGAAAAATGCCGACGTGGGATTTCTTCAAATCTGCCTGATCCTCTACATGTTCCTTCAACTGACCGTCTTTCTAATAGGATTATATAGCTGACCTTTCGTATAAAGAAGTTTTGTGAATTGAACCAATTTAGACCAACCAATTAAACCACTTCTAATTTCTGTGTTACTGTAATATCAAAACTGTAGTTTTTGTGGTGCTTACTTTGACAAGCTCGTTTTAAATTTATGATTATTAAAAGCGAAGCCAATTCAGTGAAGTTACACTAGTAATGAGCAGTGTTATACATTAAGATTGGAATTTTTCGCAGAAGAGTATTTGAAAGATTATTTCGAAAACGAAGTGATGTTTTATCAATGACAGATCGCGTAGAGTATTTCTTATTATTGCTTGAAGAAGTATATGAAGCTTTTCCTGACAATTTTTCTGATTACCCATTAGTCATTTGTCAATTAATTTCATACAGGTAACAGTATTTCTTCACAAGGTACAGAAAACAGTTTTTTCGTTGTTGTAACGAAAAGAGATCAATAAAGTTATTAGCAAGCAAGTGTAGTTCTTATACACTGATACAGAAAATCAAATTTTTTGGTTCAAGTAAGGTGAGTTTATACAGAGTTTAAATATAAAGAGTTTTGTCAAGAATAACTATCCAAAGGTGCTGGTTTTTAAAATTAGAAAAAGTAATTACCATTATAAACTGGTAACGAAATTAACAAATGTTTTTTATAGGCACTTAAAAATATACTGATCTGAGATGAAACTTTTGTATGAGAAAAAAAAATATACATTAAGAGTTGACTACTTGCAGAAGATCGAAGGGAAACAAATGTACATTATGCTGTTGATTAAAAACTGGCAGTTTTCTGAATAGATAGTAAACATTGCTGAACTAAGGAAATAA